CTGGGCTTGAAACATGCAGCCAGCCATGGAGATCCAGCTGCCTTAACCACCACCCCACTGGTTGGCCCCTAAAATTTTTTTTAGTGAGGTCTTGCCTGTTTGACTGCACCCCCAAGTGCCTAATCAGGGCCCCATTTCTACTTTTTTTTTTTTGAGAGGTTTTTGCTATAGGGCGTGTGTGTTTGCTGGAGAGACAGAGAGAGACATAGAGACAGAAAGTGAGAAATTAACCCCACCCCCGATAGGATGGCCACGCTGCAACCCCTTCTCCTTCAGTCTCCTCTTGGGATTTTGGGCATGCACACACATGCACCCGGCATGAGTTTCAAGTTGCTAGGTCTGGAACTCAAACCACAGTCAACTATGTGGGAGTCCAGTGATCTAACCATTATGCCATCTGCTAGCCCTAGGGTCCCATTTCTAAAGCAGCCCATCCCAGCCTTCCTTCATTGATGCAGTGAAAACACATTGTGGGCTGGGGCAGTGCAGGCCCCGGAGAGAAGAGGCTTTGGAGGGACTTCTCAGGGATGCAGGGACAGCGGGGTCTGTTCCGGGCATGGAGAACGATTGTGTTTAGATAAGGAAAGCCCTGACCACATCAGCTTTGCAGATGGGCTGATCGGGAGGTATGGGGAGAGGGAGGCTCAGCGGCCATGCCTGACCCACACCCCACCACACATACCTGATGACACAGCACTGGTCCCTCTTGTTCTTCTTCATGTTGAAGTAGCAGTTGTTGGCGATGGCAAAGACGTGTGGGGGCAGCTCGCCCACATGGCGGCTGTAGAACAGCTGCTCCTGCTCCAGGGTGTAGAGGGGCAGCACCTGGAACGGGTTCACGGCCACCAGGATGGAGCCTGTGTAGGTCTGGAGAGGAAGTGGGGTCAGTGCTGGCCCCCAGGTACAGCTGTTCTGTAGGCCTTGGCCTTCAGTACAGCTCCCGAGTGTTACTGGAACCTGCTTACTCGGTGAGGAAGTGGGTGCTCAGATCCTTCCTCTGACAAGTTGGGGTGTCCACCAAGAATGTGACACCTCCTTGGGACACCTCCTCGGGGAGGCGAAATGTTTACCGTTTGGCACCTGACCTGGTACTTAGAAGGAACTCAATAAAAATGGGTTGAGGGCCAGTGGGTGGCACGGTGGTTGGGCACTGGACTCCTACATGGTCAATCTGGTTTGAGTCTCAGAACTGGCAGCTTGCTTTCTCATTCTCTCTCTCTCTTCTCTCTCTCTCTCTCTCTCTCTCTCTCTCTCTCTCTCTGGTGAGCACATGTGTCCTATAGCAACTTTAAAAATAATAGCAATAACAAATAAAACTAAATAAATAATTCTTAAAAAAAAAAACAAAACTGGGTTGAATGGATGAGAGAAGTCTCCACCTGCTCCTGCCAGGCCTCCCTGAAGACTGGCCAGCAGTTGTACCCCTACCAATCTGGCATTCCCCAAGCCCTCAGGGACCTCCACCCAAGATCATCTGCTCCCCCTAGACCCCACTGTCCCATCTGGGGTTGAGACAGGGAGAGCCTTCATGACAAGCCACTGGAGGTCTTTATTTTAGGAATGGAGAAGACACGCCCCTGGCATCGAGACTATGAGGACTGGGTAAAGAGTGCGTGTACAAGTCTGTGGAAAGGACAAACTCCATCTGGCTCACTGCTGTTATCTGTCCAGGGCTCTGCCTGTTCAGCCCAAGAAGATGCAATGTCCTGTCCTCTCCTTCCCCAGGGGTCTCCTGCTTCTCTCCAGCTCCTCTTAGCAGCCTAGAAGGTCTATCAAAGCCAAACTAGCTACCCCTCCTGACCAGATGACCAGAGGAGAGACCAAAGCAGACAGTGCCTCTCCCACACTACATACACTTGGGTAGAGCCCTTGGAAGCCGGGTGGTGGGAAGGGGAAACTGGTATCAACTTCAGATACCAGCTCTCCCGGGGAAATCTGCCCTGGAACTAGGACAAGAGCCTTTGGGCTGGCTCATGTCTACCCACTCAGCCTCTTTGTCTAGGGATCAGGACTCTGGGGTCCTGGCTGTTGTGGGACTTTTGGGAGAGCAGAAGTCTTCTGTCTGTGATCCTATCTCTACAACAGGGCCACCCAGTGGCCTTCAGTGTCCACTCTATGTCAGAGCCAGCCTTTTGCTCAGCCACCAGCAAAGGAAAGGAGCAGCATCCTGTGAGTACTGTACTGTGCTGGATGTCAACCTCTGCACCCTTGAGGAGTGAGTCCTGGTTTCTTTTGGGTTGGAGAGCAGAAATAAGGAAAGGTTAGGTACCCCACCCACCACCCAGCCAGGTATGGGGCTGGCTCTGGACCCCTGGTGTATCGCTTTCCTCCCCTTCCAGAAGGTTCAGCCCCTGCAGGTGGGTGTCCCCCCAGGTGGGGTGGAACTCACATAGATCTTGTGCTGCCGGTAGCGGATCAGGAGGTTGTGCACCATGCCTGCTTCATGCAGGTCCCCCAGGCGGATCATATCATCTACTCCCTGGGCCGAGTTGGGGTGCATGGGGCTGAGGGTACCCAGGTCCTCTGCTTGGATCCAGTGTTCCTGGAATGACAGACACAAACTTTCCTGAGGGACAGCTCCACATGGGCCAGCCCTCTGAACCCCTCCAAGTTCTCAACAGTGAGGCAACCTGGGACCTGGGGCCAGCGGCCAGTCTCAGGCCTGGGCCAGTTAAGGACCCGTGACTGGATCAGATCCATCTATACCGGGGGTCAGCATCAGCGGCCAGTCTCAGGCCTGGGCCAGTTAAGAACCCGTGACTGGATCAGATCCATCTATACTGGGGGTCAGGAAGTGTCCAGGGCCTGGGGTCAAAGTGTATCTGGGCTGGGAGTGAATTTCAGACCAAGGACAGGGGGGCTTATAGTTAGAAGTTAGATTTAGGGTCAGGTTGTAGGTGGAGGCCTTGAAAGTTGTTGGAAGAAAAGTGTGCAAGTAAAAGCATTTTTAAAAAGATCTGTAAAGCATGATGCATGTAGGAGAGACCGTGGTTGTTTCCTAGCCTCCATAATTGGGAGCTCACAGGCAATGTAGAGCCTTCTCCTGAGGTACAGTGTGCACACTCCCCACCCCACAGCACTCAGTTGTGCAGAGAGAGCTGCCTGAGGAGGGCATTAATTGAGTTGGACCTTTGCCCTGCAAGCCCTTCCCCCTTGTCACCCTGGCCACCCTTGATGTCCTCAGGCAGAGGAGCTGGCTGCCAGTCCAGGCCACCTCAGCATCTTCCTCTCACTTGTGAGATTTTGCCCCTCCGTCTTTCTCACCCACCTTCCCCTCCTGCCCACTTACTTGGCAGACCCAGCTTTCTACCCTTCCCTTTTCCCTGCCACGGTTCCATCCCCATGCCACTCCTTCTTGCTTCCCTAATTCTCCTAGCTTCCCAGACTGCTACTCTCTAGACATTCTCCAGGACAAATGAGTGGTAAGACTGTGCATACAACCTCTGGTGTTGGGGACCAGGGTCAGAGACGGGGGGGGGGCACCTAGAGGAGGATCAGCAACACCTACCTTGCCCTCGTCATCCTCAACCAGGATTTTCCCTGGCTTTGTTTCTTTGACAATGCCCCCGATAGCCACGTCAGTCTTGTTGGTGGAGGGAGAGTCCAGCCATACATGGTCACCCTGGAGGGCAGAGAGAAGACAGTGGTCTGATCCTTGTCCCTTTTTCCCATCCTGCTAGAGATTTACCTGTCCTGGGAGCTGTCCTTCCAAGAGAGAGCTCCACAGTGGCTAGAACTCCTCTGTCACTCTCTCCCTATCTCTCCCTCCCTTTCCTCTGTCTCTGTCTCTTCCCATGTTGCCTCTGAGCATGTGTCACATGCCTTGTCCACTAGGCAGGTACCAAATGCTGCCTGCACAGCTTCCTTTCGGGTCTCTGCCTTGCCTTGGCCGCTGTTTATGAAGGCAGTGTGGCAGACTGTGTTGAGAGCAGAGGGACTCCCAAACCTGAGGATGGTGGCAGGAGCTGAACTTTTTACTTGCATCTTCTCTGACATCACCCACAAACAACTAGGAGCAAGAGAAACAGACACCAAACCACCATCTTCAGGGAAACTGGAGGATAGCTGAGCCTCAGAGCCACAGAACCGGCAAGAGGACTGCCAGAGATAAGATGTTCCTGGCTGCAGATTTCAGAAGGAGGTGGCAAAGTTTATTTCTCAATGTGTGGACACATCCAGATGTACAAAATCAGCAGGTCTAGCTGCCACAGCAGGAGCGAGGGCATGAAGGGGTGGCAGTGGAGCTTTGCTGGCCCGCCTTGGTTCTAAGAAACACACCAGCCATTTCTGTGGGAAGCAATCAGAAAGGCCCTACAGTGCCCAGATCTGTTGGCTGAGGTGAGTAAAGACTGAAAACTCACAGATGAGGCTTCTGCTAGCCTGTAGCAAGACATTGACTTCACAAGAACCTCCTTCTGATCCAAGAAGGCTCACCCCATTCAAAGAGGAATAATCCCATGGGAACCAGTACAGGTGTACATGTGAAGATTCCGAAATCCACACAGGGAAGGATCCATCACGTAACACTAATCAAAAGAAACTCCCACAGAGCAGCAGAAAGTGGAGAGCAGGGCTTCCCCACCAATTAAAAAACATTTACGAGATACAGGTCAAAGACAAAAGAGCTCAGGCATCACTGTGGTGAGATAACGGGAGAATAAGGCCTGAGTTGGCAGAGTTGAAGAAAAAGCAGCAAGGGAAAGAAACAGACCAAAAATGAAAGGAAAATCAGAAGCGACAACAGAAGACTATGCACTGTTTTCTTTTGTTTTCTAAAGTAAGGATCATAAAAAATAGGAAAAATGTGAGCAAAATGATAGACATTTTAAAAAATTAAGGTTAGGAAGAAAGGGGTAGATATCAAAAATAGACCAGAATAGATTCCCTACTCCCACCCCTGGTCTCTCCCAAGAAAAGTAGGCCCCCGCTAGCCCACCACCCAGGATCTGCAGTCTGCGCGCCCACGAGGTCCAGTGCCTGTTGAGACTTGGCAATCCGTGATGGCAGCAAAGGCGTCAACGTTGAAAGCTCCGCACGCGTGGTATTCTCATCCAGTGTATGCAAGATACTGGCAACAGCATCAGCAAGCGAAGGCTTGGATGCGAAGCCACCAGGTCGCCTACAGGAAGGCCGTGGAGTCCTATTTCTCTTCCCCGTGTTACTTGGCTTTCAGAAGGTCTGGGCAGCATGCATATGACAGCAGCAGGACCCAGACATCCACAGTAGAAGACCAAGCTTTGTTCAAAGAAGAAGAGGCAGAAAGTGAGTCAGAGGAGGAGGTGGAATACGACCTGAGCAACAGGGAAGTCACCGAAGAGCTCCGCCAGTACTTTGTAGAAACTGAGAGGCACAGAGAAGAGCGGCAGCGGCAGCAGCAGCTGGAGGCGGCGCGCCTGGACGACTACGTGAACGCCGACCACGGCCTGTACTACAAGCCCTGCCGGGCAGTCGGGCCCCCAGCCCAGAGGCCCGGCGAGCAGCGCAAAGCCGAGATGCAGCATTTGTACAGGGACAGCACAGCCAAGATCCTGGCCATGGAGGCTGCGGTGCAGCTGCGGAGCAAGCACTGTGACAGAAAGCAGCCCAGGTACTGGCCCGTCATTCCCCTGAAGTTCTGAGCCCTGGCACAAGGGCCCTGACATGTTTCTGAAAGGGGTCCCCAGTCTCACCCCCTTCCTCCTGGATACACACTCTTCTCTCCTTCTGTACTTTACTCAGGGAAAGGGGTCTTTCTACTGGGAGAGAAGCATGTTCACCAGAGTCTCAGTGGGAGTGGATGTCATATGCCAGCCACTTGGAAGTCAGAGGATGTATATTGTCGCCATCATGAGAGTTTTTCTTGGCACCAAATGATGATTTTGTATATATTACACTTTTTTTTATATTGCCAATAGTAGTGTTCGATTCATTAAAGTCCTTGCCTAGATATGTATATATATAAAAAAAAGATCAGAATATAGAATATCCAAGAAGAAAACTGGAGGAATAAAAGAACAAAAGGTTTTTTTTAAAGATATAATTCCAGGGACCAGCAGATGGCATAATGGTTATGTTGCTGGACTCACATGTAGTTAACCACGGTTCAAGTCCCAGACCCAGAGGCTTAAAACTCATGCCAGGTGAATATGGAGGTTCCTCAAAGATCTATACACAGAACTACCATGTGATCCAGCAATCCCACTTCTGGGTATCTTCCCAAAGGACAGGAGAATGCTCAGTTGGAAAAGCGTGTGCACAGCAATGTTTACTGCAGCTTTATTCACGATCACTAAGACATGGAACCAACCCGAATGTCCACAAACTGATGAATAGATTGAAAAAGTGTGGCACATATACTCTATGGAATACTACTCAGCCATAAAAAAGCAAGACCCTGGCATTTGATAGAAAGTGGTCAGATATGGAGGATCTATTGCTGAGTGAAGCAAGCCAGGATATGAAAGAAAGATACAGTTTGTATCCACTTTATACCGACTATCTGCACTCTGTGGTAGAGATTGAAATATCGGAGGGCATAAAAGCAGTGAAAATAGTTATGGATGCTGAAGAAGGTGTGGAACAGGGCAAGAGAAGGGAAGAGTATAAGGTAGCAAGAGAACAGAGAGGCATGACATTAGTGGGACACAGAACTGGCTTATTTCCTGTTGATAACATGTTTAGTATTCTCGACTGGTAATGGTCTGAGAAGTATTTCATGTTGGGTAAATTCTTTTCACAAGCAAAGTGATATATAGCAATTGAATGTTTAAAAAAATAATGAGAATAATAATAATAATCTGGAAAAAATGATGAAAGTTATTCGATGATGATGATGGGGATTTTAATGTCTTTGTCTTGACTGATATGCATGGTATTCCTTCAGGAAAAAGAAATGTAATACACTGCAAAGATATATATGATTCAATGTAATATAAACAAGATTATGATAATAATAAATAAAATTTGAAAAGAAACTCATGACAGGTGCATGTGTATGTGTGCCAAAAATCCCAAAAGGAGAACAGATGAGAAAGGATTGTGGCATAGCCATCACCCTGGAGGGTAATTTCTTGCTTTCTGTCTCTCTGGCAAGTGCACACACCCTATAACTAAAAATCTCTCTCAAAAAAAAAAAAAAAAGATATAATTCCAGACAAGTTTTCAGAAATCAAAGGTTTTTTTGTTTGCTTGTTTAAGGTTTTGTCACAGGGCTTATGTGCTCACCAGAGAGAAACAGAGACAGAAAGAGGTAAAGTAAGAAGTCACTCCCCAGGAGGGATGGCCATGCCACAATCCTTTCTCCTCCATTGTCATCTTGGGAGTTTGGCCACATGCTCACATGTGCCTGGAGTGATTTTCAAGTCACCAGGTCCAGGACTCAGACTGTAGTTGGCCATGTGAAAGTCTAGCATTATAACCACTATGCCAGCTACTGGCCCTCAACAAGCCTTTTTATTTTTAGTTGTCAGAGAATGTGTACATTACCAGAAAGAGACAGAGAAAGGAAGGACCTCACACACACACACACTGACGAGGTGAGATCATGCTGCAATCCCTTCTCCATTTCTCCATCCTTTTAGGATTTGGGGCACACATGCATGCCAGGACTTAAACTGCAGTTGGCAATGTGGGATTTAGCTCCCTTAACCACTGGGTCATGGGGCTGATCAAAGAAGCTTTGAGTCTATAGATTAAAACATGTACTGAGGCCCAGGAAATAATGACAAAAAAAAAAAGGAAAGAAAGAAAAAGAGAAGGAAGGGCCAGCAGTTGGCATAATGGCTATGTCGCTGGACTCCCATGTAGTCGACCATGGTTCGAGTCCTGGACCCAGTGGCTTAAACTCACACCAGGCATGGGTGCGTGTGTGCCAAAAATCCTGAGAGGAGAATGGAGGAAAAGGGATTGAGGCATGGCCATCCACCCTGCGGGGGGGTGGGGTGGGGGGGGTGTCTCGCTTTCTGTCTCTGTCTGTCTCTGTCTTTCTGGAGAGCCCATACACTCTATAGCAAAAAACTTCTCCAAAAAGAAGAAGGAAACTCTAGGACATATGCCAGTAAAAATTACTGAATTTGTAAAACAAGGAAATAACTTTTGAGGCTCAGCATACAAAAGAGAAAATCTAGTTTGGTTACAAAGAGAAAATGCAGGACAAATTCGAGTCTTACGAGAGGTGTAAATAATTCCTATAGTGATCTCAAAAAAGAGTAGCTTGGGAACCAGCAGTTAGCATAATGGCTATGTCGCTGGACTCCCACGTAGTCGACCGCGGTTCGAGTCCTGGACCCGGTGGCTTAAAACTCACGCCGGCTGCGTGTGCATATGTGCCCAAGATCCCGAGAGGAGTATGGAGGAGAAGGGATTGTGGTGTGGCCATCCCCCCTGGGGGGTGATTTCTCGCTTTCTGTCTCTCTGTCTCTGTCTGTCTGGCGAGCGCACACGCCCTATAGCGAAAAACCTCTCCAAAAAAAAAAAAAAAAGTAGCTCATCCCTGAGGATGGCCCACATCACAAAAAAAAAAAAAGAGTAGCTCATCCATGAGGATGGCCACTATCAAAAGAACAGAAAATTGCAAATGTTGGCAAGAGTACAGAAAAATTGGAAATGTTGTGCACCACTGGTGGAAATGTAAAATGTTATAACCATTAAGGAAAACAGTATGGTGATTCCTCAAAAATTCTACACAGTATATATTAACATATGATGCACTAATCCCACTTCTCAGTATAGATCCAAAAGAATTAAAAGCAGGAAACTGAAGAAATAGTTGCACATCTATGTTCATCACTGCATTATTCGAAATAACCAAGAGGGGGAGCAACCCAAATGTCCATTGACAGATGAACGGACAAAGAAAATAAAAAACAAACAAAAAAAAGGAAAAAATCTAAAAAGAAGACAAAGACTATACACACACATACACACCCACACCCACATCCACACACACACATGCTAAAAGAAAACAGGGTATACATACACTGGAATATTATTCAGCCTTAAAAAAAAGGAAAGCCTAGCATGAGTTCCAAGATGGATGAACCTTGAGGACACTAGGCAAAATAACCCAATTACAAAAGGACAAATGCTATGTGATCCATTAAAATGAAGCATCTAACTAGTCAAATCATAGAGACAGAAAGCAGAAAGGTGGTTTCCATGGGCTGAGGAGCAGAGCATTAATGTTAATAGATATCAAGTTTCAATTGTGTAAGGCGGAAAAGTTCTGGAGATACGGTGCACAAAAATGTGAATATATTTAACACTACCGAACTGCATACTTAAAGATGGCAAACTTAACATTTCATTTTTCTACTACAATTTCAAAAAAATAAAAGTAATTCAATGTTTTGTTTTTTTTTTCCAGGCAAATGATCATTCCAGTATAAAGGTAACAAACATTATTTCTATAAACCTTCTAGGGAAAAACCAAGGACAGATTTCAATACAGAGTACAAAGCATAAAAATAGATTTAGTCCAAAACACACCATCATGAAATTTCAGAATAGCTATGAACCAAGAGAAGATTATAAAAACTTTCAGAGAGGAAAGAAATAAGTTTTATACAAAGAATCAAGAATTAGAATAGTAGAATGGAATTAGACTTCTCCACAGCAGTGCTAGACACAGAGGACAATGTAAAATGAATGATGATTTCACAATTCTCAGGGAAAATGACATCCCACGTGGATCTCATGCCTGACTGACCTGAAACGAGAACAAATTGTGGCACAGAGGTAATGCAACACTGAGATGCGAAGGCCACATGGGAAGGTCCCAGGTTCAAGCCTGAGGTCTCCCTGTACACCTCAGGCACGCATGTGCTCACCCATGATCCTGCTGGCTATGGTTGGGGTGGTTCTCAGCCCTTGGGCACACGTGTACTCTGTTGGGTGTGCTGTTCTCTCTCATGGAGGAAATCAATGAATAAATTTGGAAGAAATATGAATAAAGATATTTATAGACATGCAATGTGTTGAAAGCATTGACCTCCTAAATACCCTTCCTCAGGAAGCTATGATAGCATGTTCTAGACAGAAACAGGGGAGTAAACAAAAGGAAAACTCCGTGGGCACACAAGACACCACTGAGATGCCACAGGCTAGCAACTCTGGGGGCAATTTCTTTCTGGAGATGAAAATGGTGGAGCTCACAATGGACAAAGCATTTTTGAAAGATTCACCATCTAGGAGAACATTGGGGGTTAATACAGTGATAAATGTGTAGAAAACTAAGCAAACAAGGGAGAAGAACAATTATGAAGTTAAAAGAAAACACAAGTACTTAGAGTACACTACATGGCTCAAGTGAGAGCAGCATTTATTATTATTTTTAAGTTTTTTTCTTTATGAAAGAAGGCATGCATGCATACATGTGTGTGCACATGAGCATGTGAGACGGTACCCACGACAATCTCCTGTTGTGCTACAGTCCTCTGCCCACAGCCCTCTCGCTAGTCAGGATCGTGGGCACACGTGTACCCAGTGTGCAAACTTGGGACTAATCTTAACCCAAGTAACTGTGGCTCCATGCTACTGCAAGCTCTGAATAAAATTGTTTCCATGTGGGACCAACAGATAGTGTAGCGGTTACATCGCTAGACTCCCACATGGCTGACCATGGTTTGAGTCCCAGATCCAC